AACACTCAAGCCTTTGGCTGCTGAATGTCTTGTTGGCGTTCGTTTGGGGCTGCTGAATTTCTTGACTCCTGTCTGTGCGGACTGATTGTTTTGGTTGCTTGCATTTGGTGCAGGTGGCTGTTTGTTTTGGACAGATGTCGTTGACGCACTTCCTGGATCTGGGTTGGTGGGTTGGTGCCTAGAAAGTGTATTTTTTGCTGATACGAACACAGCTACAATTTTTATCCCGCACCCAATGTCAATTTGGGAATAGACCGAGAGGGGACAGCGAAAAGCCAAGACGGTCAACAAAAAGGAACATTGGCCCATGTAAAGCGTAAAGTTGCAACGGCCCTTTCAATGAAGGTGAAACCTGTTTAAAAATATAGACATTCATGTGCATTTGCTCCAATTTCAGCCGTCGAGGCTTGCCTCGAAAATTCTCCCTCATCCTTACATTTTTTGTTTTGTTGCAATTTCTATAGCCTCGAGGCTGCCTCGAAGCCTGCTTTGAAGCCTGCCGCCAGGCTCATCCTGAAAGATTGTTTGTTTTGCTCCAAGTTCGCATGGTCGAGAACCGGAGGTGCAACAGAGGATGCAAATGCCTTTTTCCCGTCTTGCAGAAAGCGCGCTGTTTTGCGCTAACTTTGCTGTCGCCCCTGCGGGTTTGATTTGCCTGGCATGTGCAATACTTCTGGCAGTCACGGTGTGAAAACTGACAGCGTTTAGTGAAGATTTTGGTGGCAGGTGCGGTATTTACGGCGTGTGTGACACTGAACCTACAGAGGGTGAGCGTTTAGTACGACAGTTGTGGCACTACACGCCTTTTACCGTGGGAAAAACCAGCAAAACAGGTCCAGCGTGTAGCGTGTAGTGGCTCTTTTTTCTAAACTATATTGATCTTTTAAAAATAATTACAACCGAACGCCAGGAAACGGCGAAAATGTGTCTCCGGCCACACCGCGGAGCGTTTAGTGGGGTACTACACGCCCAAACGGTCGCATCTAAAAACCGCTGTTTTACCACAGTGCGAAGCGTTTAGTGCCGATTTTGCTGGCAGGCGCAGTATTTGCGCTCTGCGTCGCGCCAAAATCACAGAGGGTGAGCGTGTAGTGCCGCCAGTTGTGGCACTACACGGCAAGTTTCTGTGCACAAACCTTGGCAGGCGCAGTATTTCAAAAGGAAACATGGCCACCCCACAGCTTAAACCCTGCCGTGGCTGAAGCTGTGAGGTGGCCACGTCTGTTTGTCAAATACTTGCCACGGGCTAAGCTGTGAGGTGGCCATGTTTGCTTGTCAAAAACTGCCCCTGCCAGGGTTTACGCTGTGTAGTGGCCATGTTAGCTTCTGAATTACTGCGCCTGCCAGCGTTTAAGCTGTCCAGGTTAAGCTGTGAGGTGGCCATGTTTGTTTGTCAAGTACCGCAGTTGTCAGGGTTTAAGTTGTGAGGTGGCCATGTTTGTTTGCAATATTTGCCACAGGTTGAGATGTGTGGTTGTTTACTTCTGAAATGCTGCGCTTGCCACGGGTTTAAGCTGTGATGTGGCCATGTTTGCTTCTGAAATATTGTGCCTGCGATGGGGTTGTTAGCTGCCAAAGTACTGCGCCTGCCACGGGCTTAAGCTTTTGAAATATTGGGCCTGCCGCTTTAAGAGATCTGTTGAATACGTCCCGCTCCCCAGCGGCAATGCTGCGTCAGTGTGAGATGGACTGAAGCTGTCACATGCTTCTTTACAGCGTTCCACAGCAGCATTGGCGCCGGGGGTGTGGGGGTTCTGCGCTGCCCGCGCAAAAACTATCGGGAGAAAAAAATGCAGGATCACATGGAGGGGAGGCCATGGCGGCCACATGGTATGTTCTTTATTTCGCAAGAGAGAGAGACGGAACATATCGAGGACGAAAATCTGCATGTGCTTTGAAGTTAAGGTCCCACACGGGGCATGTGTCCTCATTTTGGACTGCAGGCTTTCATGAAAGCAATGGGTATCTTGGCTGGTGATCATCGCCGCCAGCGTTTTTTGGTTTCAGCTCATTCAGTCTTGACGTGTATTATACAGATTCGAGTCCCTGTGAGCCTCGCTTTGTCCTCGTGCCATTACGTTTTGCGTCCGAGGCCTGGCCTCGGGCAGGCCTCGGTGAGCCTCGGAGCGCCTCGAATGCCAACAAACCTGCTTCATCATGGTCCCTAAAACAGGGCCGAAAAAAAGTGCTCAAAACATGGCTGCGATAGAGAGACCTCGACAGTAGCAAGCGGCCTTCGGACGCACAAAGAGAAAAGGTATGTGTTGACATTCATGTTCAAGCTGCTGGGTCGCAAATCTGCTTGCAAAACATTTGCGGGCAGCAACGAAATTCTCCGATGGCTGACCCCATTTTTGGGTCCAAATATGGACCCCAAAATGGGGTCCAGAATTGGATCACATTTTCATTCCTTCTTTTAGGTCTTTGTGTGGGCCCCGTTTTGGGGTCCGGATTTGGACCCAAAAGTGGGGCCAGCCATCGGAAAATTTTGCTGCTGCCCGCAGATGTTTTGCAAGCAGATTTGCGACGCACTAGCATGAGCATAAGTGTTAACACATGCTTTTTCTCTCTGTGCGTCCCAATTTGTTTCTTGTACAGTCGAGGCCCCTTTATGGCCGCCATGTTTCTACTAGTTTTTTGGATCCTGTTTTTGGGGCCATGATGAAGCAGGCTTGTCGCCAAACACTAAAGTCTTTGGCTGCTGAATGTCTTGTTGGCGTTCGTTTGGGGCGGCTGAATTTCTTGACTCCTGTCTGCGTGGACTGATTGGTTTGGTTGCTTGCAGTGTGCAGGTGGCTGTTTGTTTTGGACAGATGTCGTTGACACACTTCCTGGATCTGGGTTGGTGGGTTGGTGCCTAGAAAGTGTATTTTTTGCTGATACGAACATAGCTACAATTTTTATCCCGCACCCACTGTCAATTTGGAAATAACAGCGAAAAGCCAAGACGGTCAACAAAAAGGAACATTGGCCCATGTAAAGCGTAAAGTTGCAACGGCCCTTTCAATGAAGGTGAAACCTGTTTAAAAATATAGACATTCATGTGCATTTGCTCCAATTTCAGCCGTCGAGGCTTGCCTCGAAAATTCTCCCTCATCCTTACATTTTTTGTTTTGTTGCAATTTCTATAGCCTCGAGGCTGCCTCGAAGCCTGCTTTGAAGCCTGCCGCCAGGCTCATCCTGAAAGATTGTTTGTTTTGCTCCAAGTTCGCATGGTCGAGAGCCGGAGTTGCAACAGAGGATGCAAATGCCTTTTTCCCGTCTTGCAGAAAGCGCGCTGTTTTGCGCTAACTTTGCTGTCGCCCCTGCGGGTTTGATTTGCTTGGCATGTGCAATACTTCTGGCAGTCACGGTGTGAAA